ACTGAAGAACAAAAACGACAGCAACTTGTCTGTCCCCCTTCCCCCAATTCCCCAGCACTGTTCCCATCCCCCCAATTCACCAATAAAAAAAAAAATCAAAAAAAAAAAAAAAAACCAACCAAGTAAGAAATTCCAGTCTCAAACGCAATAAGGTTCTGAGCTGACTCGCTCCCTTATACCGGTCCTTCCTCTTCCTCTCCCTCTCACCTCCATACTTCTCCTTTCCTTCCATCACGCTCCATTCTCTTTGGTATCTTGCTGCTTTCTCCCTCTCTTCCGTCCCCTTTGTTTCTGCCTGCTTTTGCTTTCGGCCACCCAGAAGTGCTGGCTGAGGGTTCCTTCTGGGCGAAGGCAGAGAGGGGAGCTCCACCTTGAACACCCAGGCACACCTGTGGAAACCTGCGGGCCTATACCCTGTGGAAACACGCAGGACGCCACGCACACCCTCTTTCCTGAGCGCATGTCTGTCCCACACGCCTCACTGCACACCGTCCTTCACATCCTCCTCAGATGAAAGCACTGTACTTCACTCTCCTTACCTCTCAACACATAGTTGACATACAAATCTTGGAAAAGCTGAATGGTCTGCTTTCTGACTCACTGCAGATTAAGAAGGGGAAATAAATATAAAAAAGGAAAGGAGCTAGATGGGAGGCCCGCACCGCGACGCAGTGAGAAGGGACAGCTGAGAACCTGACCTACCAGGAAGACACAGGACAACGATAAGTCTCTGGAAGAGTGGGACAGTGCTCGCCTGTGGTGGCAAAGGTTCACGATCCCAACCCAGGGTCATCGATGAGGGTTAGGTGACGTCCCACACCTCCTGCTGAAGACAGCCCCTGTGTCATCCAGTCTGGAAGCCTCCCATCAGGGGTGCTCAGGACCAGGCCAGGTGCTCACAAGGCAGGCTGACACTTCATTAGGGAAACCTCTCCATTTCCAGAGGGCGCAGCCAAAGTGAGGGCTGCCTGATTGCGAGTGATGAGACAACGCGGCAATTCTATCTTAACAAAATGGTCATTATTAAAGTGAGGTTTTTGCTTTGCTTTCGTTTTGCAGGGATCTGAAGCTAGATAATATCCTGTTAGACAAAGATGGACATATCAAAATAGCAGACTTCGGGATGTGCAAAGAGAACATGTTGGGAAATGCCAGGACAAACACCTTCTGTGGGACGCCTGACTACATCGCCCCGGAGGTAGGGACGTGAGGCGCCCCTTCCTGACCCCACACGCCCGAGCCAGCCACTACTTCTTCCTCCCCTGATGATCGGAAGATGTGATGTATTCTCGTTGAGGATTTGAATTTGTTTTCCCGAGTATTTCATACGTGCAGCGCACACAGGGGCTGCTGTTACTGTTTTATGGGGCATGGCACTCATGCTAATCAGGTCACCTCTCCAAGTCTTGAATGATGCAGCAAGTCCCTTCAGTCATGCCCCCCCTCCCCCTGGCCTTAAAATATATCCACTCTGCTCAGACCCACCATCCAACAGTGGTGAAGACCCAGGTGGATGCTAAACAGGCTCATAAGTATCCGCCTGAGTAAGTCATTTGGGGTGTCATTTGGGGTCCAGAAAAACCTACGTGGTGGTCCCCAAGCTGCCACTATGTGAGCACAGAGAGGATCCCGGGGTCCACGGACCCGCAGTGCCTCGTCTATAAAATGAGGACAGTACTTACGTCACGTTATTACAAGCATAAGCGGAGAACCTATGAAAGCTGGCTTTTATAAAGGCACCGCTCTCATATTCTGAGCCCTCAGAAGAAAGGCGTTTGCTCAGAAGGCTTCCATCCATCCATCCACCCAACTCTCCCCACCCCTCCCCTTGTTACAGAGTCCTCCCCAGCTTCCGCCCCAGGGAGACCAGATGCCTCCATACTACCTGGCCCTCCCCAGAGCATGACACTTATCATTGTGGTTTTTCATCTTTGAATCTCTCTGCACTGCCAGATGACTGCTCTCAAGTCAGGGGCTGCTTTTTATTCCACTTTCAATAACTTTCTATCTTGAAATAATTATAGATTCACAAGAAGTTGGAAAAATAGTACAGAAATGTTACCCATACTCGTGTATACCCTTCACCCAGCTTGCCCCCGGTGGTTACATCTTATATAACTCTGCTACAATCTCAAAACCAGGAAATGGATATTGGTACACAATGCGTATCGTTCTGTAGCATTTTATCACATGTGTAGGTTACTGTGATCTTATTCACTCTTATAGTTAAGGACAGGCTGTGGGGCTTGGCACATTAAGGTGCAAACAAGTAACCTTCTGGAAGAATGAATGAATGTCTATCAGTAAATGTGTCGATAGTGATGGTTGTTTGACAGGCAGTGATGGACCTCTGCTTTCCTGGGTAAAACAAAGTTAGCAGCAAATCTCTGTCATTGTCAAAGTAATTGTGGTCTCCTGACTCTCAGAAATACATGGTTTTGCCCTGGGCTGATGTGGCATTTCATTTTGATTTAACTTTGTTTAAATGCAAGGTTGGCCTCTGGTCAACAAGAAGTTACAGCTTTTAATTCCCTGTCTACAAATGCCTCATGGCACATCTTCTCCCTGGCAATCCTTCCACCCTGATTCTGTTTCCCTCTACCGCTTCCAGAATTTAGCTTCAGTGATTATTTCTCTCTCTTTGCAACGTCAGCCTCTTTCTCTCATCTTCAAGCATGCTTGTCTTCACGTGATTCCGTGATGGGTCCTCCTCTCTCCATACTGGACATTCTCCATGAGCAGCCGGAGTTATGATTATGATTTGAACTCCACAGTCAATATGGCCAGCCCGAACCAACTACTTCTTCCTGCTGCAGACCCATATGTCCATTTTCTTGCTTGAGATCTCCAACTAACTGTCACAGGCCATTCAAACATAACAGGTCTCAAACTCCTGTCTCTGTTGAGTTATCTCCACCCCCACCTGCCCTTCTCTCTATCCCTTTCTTGGTGAATTACACTTCCATCCACCCAGGCACCTAGCCAGAACACTAGGACTTACCCAGGCTCCCTCCTTCTTCCTTACCCCTCCCAAGTCCAAACACAAAGACCTTTTAAATTTAGACCTCAGGGACCTCCCAGGTTACCCTTCCCTCCCCAGTCTTGAGACTGGGCTCCTTCTCAGTCCGCCAATGAATCCCTTTGCTTTAATTCCCCATGCTTCTCCAATTCCTTCCCATCCTCACTGTCAGTGCCTCACCCCAGGCCCTCGGAATCTCCTGTCTGGACCCCAGTGATGCCCTTTGACCTGGCTTTCTTCTCCATCACCATCCAACTGCCAGTGCATCTTCTTTATATATTTGCAAGCTTTTTCACCATGCTCCCTCATCAGTTAAAAAAACATCCTGAGTACACGTATAGGAACCTCATACATTATTGCCAATGTAGTCTGGTGTTATAAATCAAGCATAAAAAGAAATATCATCAGGTTGAACTGAAGATGAAATAGTTTTAAATAACTAAATGTCATTCTCTTTATTAATAGCACAAACATAGTTATGCTTCATTAAAATAATGAGCTTAAATTGCCAAAAGACCAAGCTTCAGAACATAGCTTTCAGCTCATTAGCTAGGAGGCCCGAAGTGAGACGTGTAACCTCCCGAAGTCCAATCGCCACCCTTGGTGGGGATAACAGGCCCTACCTCAGGGATTCTTATAAATAAAACACATAATGTACGGGAAACTCCCACATGTACCAGCAAAGCATTGGCAGACTTTCTAACAATATGTAATTGAGTATGAATCTACATTTTTTCTTCCTTTTTACTGAAGCCTGAAATTCTTTATGAACATCACCTCACTTTAGAAGACTTCATTTCCACCATGGCTGTCTCCTGTCCTCCAAATGTCTTTTCACTTGTCCTGCCAAATGAAGTTGTTTGCAAAGATGTGAAGATGCTCAAGCAGTTTCTGGTTGCTTTGGGCTCCCCCTGGTGGCATTTCCTGGGAATTGCCTATGAATGGGCCTCTCAAGTCAAATTTGCCTGAACGGGTTGTGCATTTGTGTGTGCATCTTTAGTTTCTTTATCAGTTCCTGGGTCTACTTTTAGATTATTCCTTAAGGCAAAGTTTGATTTTTCTAAACTTGAAAGTGAACTTCAGCATTTAAATATTGAGTTAAAGCTCATGGAGAGCATTTTTATAGTGGAAGTCAGCAGCCAATTGCAAAATTCTGTTTGCAACTTGATCTTTATTTTCACAAATGGGTATCGGTTCATCAAGATAGATATTTATCATGTAACATAGAGTCATTTCCATGTGACAATGCACTTTGTCGTTCCTACTTTTCACTTGGTCCTCACAACCCCAGTGATATTATCACTCTTCACAAAAGAGGCTTAGAGAGGTTAGGGATTCTGCCCAAAACTACACAGTCAAGGACTAAGCTAGAAGGAGAGCAGCAACACTTTGGATGGTCATCACGGCTGCTTTGTTGTTGTTGTTGTTGTTGTTTATTTAGCGAGTCTTGTATTAGAGACGCTTTCACAGTATGCCTGAACTTACTTCAAGCTTCTGTCATTTCCCCAGGACAGGCCTGGGGTGGGATCGGGCTCAGAGACGGCTGCTGTGCACGTTATTCTGCTGCATAAAAAAAGTCCACCAGCATCGAGACACGCAGCTTTACTAGAGAATACTGGAATGTCTGGGACTGTAGTGTCATTTTTCTTTTGTAATGCCATCGGTGCTACCATTCCATCACTTATCCCAAAGCTGGGGGGGGGGGGCTTCCATTTCACGTGAGGAACACTCTAGTAAAATGACCTCTGTGTGTTTGTGCATGCGTCTGTGGATGTGCTCACACGCGTGCACTGAGCTAACCCTCAAACTGCAGAGTGAAAAGGAGGGCTGCCCCAAGAGGGCCCCATTGTTGCTTTCTAAATTCTGTACTCCCATACATGATTTTGTTTGGGGTAATTAAGCAGCCTGCCCCCAGCCCATCCTGGCAGCCGCCATCATGAAGGACAAGGATTTCCCCCTCCATTTAACAAATTGTTGTTGTGCTCTTACTATGTTCAGATTTTAATTGTGGTAAAATATACATACCATAAAATGTACCATCTTACCCATTTTTAAGAGGACAGTTCAGTAGTATGTAGGACATTCACATTGCTGTGTAACAGGCCCCAGAACATTTTCATCTTATGAAATGGGAACTGTATACCCACTAAGCAACAACTCCCCACTGCCCCCAGCCCCAGCCAACCACCACTCCATTTTCTGTCTCTGTGAAGCTGACTATTCTAGGTTCCTCATGTAGGTGGAATCATATATTTCTCTTTTTGTGACTGACTTATTTCACTCAGCATAATGTCCTCAAGATTCATCCATGTTGTAACCTGTGTCAGGATTTCCTTCCTTTTTGAGACTGAATAATATTCTACCATATGCATAGACCACATTGTGTTTACCCACTCATCCATTGATGGACCTTATGTACTATTTTAGAGAAGGTCACAGCACGGTTTGCTGGGATGACAAGCATTGAGCAGTGACATGTACACTTTCTTTCTTCCGACCTTAAACAAAGAAGTTGCTAAAAGGCCAACGTCTGCCTTTTCTGCCAGGAAAGTGGGTTGGTGAAAGGGTAGAAATCTTTGAAAAAATTAGGCGGGCTTCCAAACTTTAAATCCACTTCCCTAAAAAATACACCAGACCAACTCTACTCAAAACACCGCTATCCAGCTGTGCATAGCCTGTAGCGTATCTGTGTTTGAACATGTTGGGAACCTAGTCTGTCTCTTGGCACAGTCACAACATTTGACTGTCCGTAATGGCGACCTCAAATGTGACTCGCTAGTTGTACAACCATGACCAGTTAGTCTGTAGGGAATGGGCTTGGACCAGTGACCTCTCTGGGTGCTTATTTACCTACGGAAACTTCATGCAAAGACTCAGCACAGTAGGAGAAAAACATGTGAGTTTGGTTTGGTCCTCTTACAGGCACTGGAGAGTTCGGATATACACCCGCTTTCTTAGGTCTGAATCCACCAGTCTTCATATCACAGATGGGAACTTAAGGCTAATGGCGCAGTTCAGTGGTTTCACTTACGGCCAGGGGGAAAAGTAGACACTGAAACACAAAAATGTCTGCTCAGTTTTGGCATTGCCCACTCATTTCTCTGTAATCATTAGCGCCTCAAAAGATGCAGTTTTTAGTGTGATCTTGGTTCATACCACACACTACTGTCATCACCATCCGTGATTTACTGTGTGGCCCTGACAAGTCCATGCAGGGTGCTTACTCCCCAACCTCGTTTTTATTAATTACGTCTCTGCCTTTCCGGTCACGCAGATCTTGCTGGGTCAAAAGTACAACCATTCTGTTGACTGGTGGTCCTTCGGTGTTCTCCTCTATGAAATGCTGATCGGGCAGTCGCCTTTCCACGGACAAGATGAGGAAGAACTCTTCCACTCCATCCGCATGGACAATCCCTTTTACCCACGGTGGCTTGAGAAGGAGGCTAAGGACCTTTTGGTAAAGGTAAGAAGTGAAGTCAAGGAGACGTCATCAGATTGGTCCTAGGTTTTCTCATCAGTATTCCCATTCCCTTCCAGACTCTGATTTATACATGGTAAACAATAACTGTATCGAACCTAATTAAAACGGGATGCTCAGTATCACTGTCTTAACTGAGGCACCAACATTAGATAGCAAAATGAGGGTAACATAAACCCTCATGTGCATAATTTACAAAACAAATGCCCAGGAACCGGTTCCATGACTCTTGGATGCCCTCACTTTGAGATGTAATTAGTCCATTGAACAAGCACAGTCTGTGGCTTAAAACTCAACTTTTTGTTTCCCGTAGTCCCTGTTAGATCTATTTGGTCCTGTTAACTTTCCCTGCCCCTGGTTGAGAACTTGGACAGGACACGTGACTTTTCTGCTCAGTCTGAGGCAAAAGACAAACCACTTGTCACTCTGAAGTCATAAAACACCACCTCAATTGACAAAAGTGCTCAGTCCAAGATATAAGTCACACAACCATCTTAACTCCAAAGCAAAGACCTCTGCTCCCTCTCTCCTCTGGTCAAGTTCACAGTGGGCAGCCACTCACCTTTGGAGATGGGAGTGTGGTCATACTGTGTGCCCTGGTCATACTGTGTGCCCTTGTTCTCTTCCTCTCCAATTCCTGAGTTTCTATTTCAGACCACACTAGGGAGAGGATGGAGAGAAAATAAGGAGAAAGAACTGTTCTTATATGGCTGGGTGGCTTTGTGCTCTTTTGATCTGGTGGGTAGTTAAAGCCAAGGCTTTGTGGGGGAGAGGGGACATTCTAGTAGGGTTTTGGAAATACCCATCACTGGGGACATTTTTGGCTGAAGCCCTTGAGATACAGGCTATGAGATGCTTTCCCAGCCCAGCTCCTGTACCAAATGCTAACTCAGCAACACTCCGTCTCACTGACTCTCTAACTGCCCGTTGCCTGCTGAGCAGTCTCTTAGACAGACCAGCTTTCCTGCCACATCCCTGACCTGTGTCCACTGGAACTATTGATGCCTTTTTCACCCTGAAATTCTAAGAGTGCAGACTGTCACCATCTTAGAAGCAATCTCCAGAATTCACCATCAGAGCAGGAGTCAGCCCCCACCCTCCGTGATAGCCAGGATCCACAGAGAATTGGTGTGCAGTGCTACAGGTGTAAAGTGAGCTCTGAGGAGCACCAGCCATGAACCAGAAGCTCCCAGGGCAAACCAATGCAGAGACATAAGAAGCTCCTGAAAGCCATCATTAAAGATTTGGACTTCAGAAAGAGTCCCGGTTTACCTTTTTTGAAGTTGCAAAACACCATCAACAGTGTATGAGATGTAAAACTAAAAATAAATCACGGTACTATGACAAGCTAATTACACGTAATAATAAAAATCACCTGCATTTACTGAGCCGTCCCAGCAACTATCTGGATAAAAGAGACCTTCCAGTGTGATCAGGAGGCTGACAAATCTAAGAGAAGTGGACCAAGAATACAGATGTTTTTAACAAAACAAGGTTTTGATTTCTGGTATCTCAACTCTCAGCTGGCTAAAAAAAAAAAAAATTTATGGAAATAATTTTTAGCCTTGTTCTTCCTGTATTGAAGAGGGAAATAGGGTAAGAGCTTCTAACACTAGAAGTATCAGTGGATTTTAAATGTAAACTTGGGAAAAGATTACCAGGCCCATCTTTTTCACTAGTCTACTTTTTTTCTCATGAAGAATGACCGGGAATTAAATTTAAAGGGCATACATACAACTGACGGCTTGTCTAGGGTATTTGAAGTGTGGAGTCTACTTCAGAGCTCTCCAGAAGAATCAAGAGGTTGAATCTGAAGTGCTGACAAACCGCCATAAAATAATTCACCCAAGGCTGGTGGTATTTAAATCTCAACTAGTTCAACTTAGCTTTCACTTTCTGACTGATATCCAAACAAGCAATAAACTTAGAAAGCTCCCTGAATGACCAATTAAAATACTTTCAATGACTGAACAAAACACACATAAAATGAAAGCTGATTTCAAAATTAACCAATTAAGAGAAAGATGAAAGTAAAAATGAGAGGATTGTAATGTAAACAATTTTCTTTATATAAAGGCAAGTTCAAACATTATTACAGTTGCTACATTTATTTTACACTTGGCTTTTCAAAGGACTTAACATGAGGTATATTAGTCGGCTCTGGCTGATGTCACAAAATACCACAGACTGGGCAGCTTAAACAACAAAAAATGATTTGCTCACAGTTTGGGAGGCTGCAAGTCCAAGATCAAGGTGTCAACAGGGTTGGTTTCTAGCAAAGCCCTTCCTCCTGGCTTGTAGGCCACCTCTCACTGTGTCCTCACACGGCACGGAGCTCTCTGCTGTCTCCTCTTACAAGAAAACGAAT